ATCAACCTGGAATCGACAGCAGAACAACGCTAATCTTCTTCTTCTTCGGTCATATTCTGGTAAGAAATAACCACAAATACCTTCATCAAGCACTTTCACACGAACTGAAAGTCACCTCGTCAGACGAACTGGAGATTAGCAAACCCACCATTCCTAAATTTCTAGCACCAGTTTTCTCGCAGTTAATTTAATTAAATAATTTATTGTATCACAACACATGTACTTTGATCACTGCATGTGCAATCCATGTTTAAACGCTTGCGTGTATATTGCGTAATGCTGTATTTTTGTATCCTCGTGTCTCGTGCCTCGTTTGCTTTTCACTCAGTCACCATGGCTAGCGAGATAGGCGGAAGGGATAATGGCCAGATCCCACGAGGCTGTGGAGAAAAGGATATTTAACCACCAACTTCACGAAGTCTAGGCTCATTTGTGATATTCTCATTAACTCATTATCTTCATCAGCACGAGGCATATTCCTTGGTTAGTTGGGAACCATGGTGGTGCATGGCTACGAGATAATCATGGGCTAGACAGATCGGGAGCGGAAGTACAGGACTGGGAAAAAAGGAGGACAATTAGAGATACAGAGACTATTAAGTTTATATGATGTCTCATTCTATTCCCGAGACTGCGTCCAAATGGAGAAGTGATGGTGTTATCGCGCAGTGCACACAAATGAAGCAAGAAGTTAGTTGCCATCCTTTTGAGGATGACGAGGGGCGTAGGTTACACTTCGAGCCTCTCTGTAGAAGGGAGCTGGAATGGTACATCCAATTGCAGTCTTAGAACAGAACAAACCAGCGCACACAAACAGCCGATCGCATAATGCGACAAAATGTCCTCTACCGGAAATAAAGACTGCTTTAGGGAAAGAGTGTAGAAGGACATTTCTGCCCGCAGCACGAGCATTAATGGCAGCTCGCGACTCCTGCAGGGCTGTCTTCCTTTTGGCTGATTGGCCAGTTTTGGCGATTGGAGTCATAGAGACAATGGTTTCCATGTTATAGTAGGCATGTCAACGAAGAGGGTTTGGTCGTTATTTTGGTCACAGTATCCTTTCTCCTTAAATGAGAGGCCGGTTGTCAGTTTGGCAATTTTGGCTTTGTGTCAGGGCAATTCGGAAGAGCTTATATCGCACTAAGTTCTCTACCAGACTTGCCATGTTTCCATACAACTTGAAGACTAACTAGGTTTCAGTTAATCTCCCAAGATAGCATTCTTGGGGAGAGTTTTATATTGTATGAAAGTG